ATATAGTTTTAATATTTTAATATATTATTACTTGTATTTTAAATATTTGTTACAAATTAATTTTAGAAATCTAAATTTTCAATATTGGAAAAACAACTAAATGCATTTTAATGTATATGTACATCATTTTGTCAATAGTCATTCATTTTAAACATAAAAAATACAAATAATATTTTCCCTTTTTAATAATCGAATAAATATATTGATTCACAGAATTTTTGCTCAAATTTTTTGTAATATTTTTAGACTTGATTTAAATAATTTTTGGGGGGCCGTGGTGTGAGGACTTTTTTAAAGTTCTTTTTCAATTTGCGAGGCTTCGACTGTCTGCTGTAATTGCTCAGCAGCATGCAACTTGTGTTCCCACAATTAACACGAAAAGTTTGAAGGAAAAAAATTCAGTCCAATTGGGGGGCTGTACCACACTGTCCTTAACTTAACCTAATTTGGTTTAGCTTTGGCCGTTAACTTTGGGCAAGAGGCACGTACGTCGCAGCCAATGTATGCCACCCTATTTACAATGAAGATCTGTCTGTTGGGACCTCTCAGCATGCTTGGAATGCCATGATTGTATAAGTCTTAATTGCATCACAATGGATGGAAGGTGGACAACAATGTGTGCTCTCTGCGTGACCCACAGTGCCATAAATGGTTGCTTATTTACACACTATATAAAGTACATTCATGTGCCCCACTGTTTTTTTTTCTTTTATAAAAGGCAATTTTTCACATGAATTCACAAGCTATATAAAACGCGATGCTCTATTGCTCTGCTGCTGTCTCCATAGATGGTTACTGCTCACCAGAATGGGATGGAATTGTGTGTTGGCCCGAAGGGGCTTCAGGAAAGCTTGTGTCCACCTCATGTCCGGATTACATCTATGACTTCAACCACAGAGGTAAATGTGACCCTCGAAGCCATTTGCAGCCTCGAGTTGATTTTGCTCAACGTGCCTCAGATGTTTTCAAAATAATGTCATGTAATGTAGGCCACTATTGTTCACATTGAAAAGCTTTCATATTAATGACAGTTGGCCCCAACTGTTTTCCAAGCTGACCGGAGCGCGGGGGGAAAAAAATCTTAACACACGCCACTGCACAGGACAATCCTTCGATAAAATCCTTTGCTGACTTTGATTGCAAGGGGGGGCGGGGGAGTGCTCAAATGATCAAATTAGACTCATCTATAGCCTATGTTTGCACACAGCTTTAGTCAGAAGACCTTGTTTACACCCACCTTTGTGTTTTGTCGTGTTGATTACAGTAATACAGAAGATATTTCCCACAACAGTGTAAAAAAAAAAAAAAAAGTTAATTAAGGCTTTTGTGCTTGCTCTACAGGACGAACATACCGCAGATGCAGCAGTAATGGGACGTGGGAGATCTCCGCGGCCAATAACAAGACGTGGGCCAATTACAGCGAATGTGCAAAATTCCTCTATCATTACAACCAGAACCAGGAGAAGGTAAGGCTTACACTGGACTGTGCCCTTTGACAATGTTTTTGGGCCGGGCTTTCGGGAATCCCTCCATATACTCAATATAGTGCCCTATATCGTGGGTTTGCCATTTTATAGTGCTGTTCCAATGTGTGGTACAAGTTCTGCCACGTATTGATGCCCCCCCTCCGCGCCTGCTTAACTTTGGCCGCCATACTGCCATGAACATTTTGTCAAGCAGTACAAATTGATGTGCTGCTGAATAAATTGTTGTTGTGTCTTTATTTTATTTTTTTTAATTAAAAAAAAAAATGAACAGTCACTATTCTTAAATGTCATTGTTCAAAATGCACTTCCAATGAAGTGGCATAACTGGGTGCCTTATTTATGTTCTGCGGGGTTGTCGGTATCTGCTGAATGTAACTTTTAAAATGACCTGTAATCTACCTTAGATACTTTAAAAATTGAGTAATAGTAAAGTAACTCAGTCACACTTCCCAGCAAGTAATTAGTCGCCAATAAGGTACAGTGGTACCACTACTTACAAAATTAATTGGTTCTGGAAGAAATTTCTTTGTTAGAAAATTTTGTAAGTAGAGACGCGTTTTTCATGTAAATGCCCTAATCCGTTCCAAGCCACCCCAAAATTCAGACATAAATGTTTTATGAAACATAAAAATGCATAAAAATATTAAACAAATACGTTACAATTAGATTATTGCACAATAAATGAGAGTTGTGCATAATGTAAAAAACAGAGTAAAGAATAAAAACGACGCTCATTTAACTTTTAACTGCGTCCAACGTTTTTTTGCCCTCTTTAGTTCATGTTCTCTCTCAGAAGTGGTTTTTGGCTGCCGTTTTGTGAAGAACTGATCCAAGGACGTTTGCTTTTGTCGGCTTTTAACAATCGTTCGAAAATGTCCAACTCAAACATCAGCATAAAACAAATTTTCTGGGTGATTCACATTTATGTAAAACTATCGGAACACCTCATGGCCCAAGGGGCGAATGACGAGGATGCTGCATAGACACACATCTATCCATCCACACACATAGACACATACGGTAGAAGTCCCTCTTAGCCAATGGTATGCCAGGATGATCAGTAATAGCCAATGGCAGAGCAGCTGTTCGTAAGTTGCGTTCAGGAAAATAGGAGCTGCGAGTTATAGGCCATACTGTATTTTTACCTTTCGTATCTTGAAATTTCTTTCTTAACAAGAGGCAATATTTTCCTGTTGAGGCGTTTCGTAACTTGAAACTTTCGTATGAAGAGACGTTAGTAAGTAGAGGTACCACTGTAACTAGGCAAGTTAGTTGTTCAAGGTAACTGTGGCAGCAAGGATGAGAACAGAGCTGCCAATCAAGAGATCTAAAGTTCGAGCTAGAAAATATCATATTACACTAAACCATAACAAAATATTCATGCAGGTAGTGTACAATGTTTGCAGACTTGCTGATGACGACAGGGAGCTCAGAAATTCAACATGTCACTGAATTGATGTGCTGACAAAATGGAAAAATAATCAGAACCATTTCCATAAACATGTAATGAACCGTGTGTCCATTTCCCGAATGGTTGCTGAGATGGCGTGATTATGAGGAAATTACGACTCTGATGGCAATTAGTGGCATGTTGCAAACGCTAGTCAAGAGACACAATGGGCATGGCTAAAATGAGGAGACCTGAGTGCTCAGTGTTTGATGCGGTTGCTGTTTGTCTTACCGTCCTCAGCAGGGTGCCTCTTGAGGTGCAGTTGGCGCAGTGTATTTGGCGTTCAACCCCTTTTTATTTGACGGTTTCTTTCATCCCAGTGATTCAGCGCCATTCAGACAATTCATTGAGATCAGACGTGGATAATGAGATTTACAACACTGACTCGCGGTCGACGTTCCGTTTCATGTTGCTCCTGCTTGTGTGCAGGCAATTTGGACTTTCAGGTCATGCTTATCCAAAAGCCTTTTTAAGAACCATTTTTTTTTCTACTTCCGTTCCAATGTAAGATCTGCAAAGGCGGCGAGGGGTCTAATCTCACTAATTCATTTTGCTTGCCGAGCTTCAAACAGATATGATTGATTATAGAAGCTTGAGAATGTAACTCAATCTGTCAGCAAAGTTGGACAAGATAGAGGTAGCAGGGGACTGGCTTGGTGTTTTGTTTCTTTTTTTCATATTCTTCTTCCTTGTAAATGACCGCGAGATCAGAGTGAAAATATCACTGGTGTTATCGGAAGCAGAAAACTTTCAATTTTCTCCTGACAGGCGCAGCGGCTCCTCGTTGATTGATGAGAATGTTATTCTTGTGCTAATGTTCAACTGTTAACAGCGCCAGTGTTGTTGGTCATTCACCAGTCACTCAGCTCCAGGTACCCCAACTTTGCCCCATATTCCGAAAACATGCTTCTTGGGTTAATTGAAGACTCTCATTGCCCATGAATGAAAATAGCTATTTGACTTCAAGTGCCCCATGAGTGACTGGCGACCAGTACCGGATGTTCCCCAACTCTCGTCCAAACTCAGCTCGGACCAGCTCCAGCTCAACCGTGACTGTAATGAGGACGGAAGTGCTAAATAAAATGAATGGATGTTCAAAAGTTTTCTTAGATGTTTTTCTCTGATAAATCTGTTTCTCTTTAAACTCCACAACGAACGTCAACTCTCCAGATGCAAAGTCTTTGAATCCAACACACTCCACATTATTATCCGAGGTTGTCCTTGAACTTGATATTCTTTTTCTTGGAGCAAGAGAAGGAGGAGGTGTTTGGTCAGCCTTTGACACGGTCGAGTTGAGTGATGAAGAATTTTGTGTTTTATGGCGTATGCCATAAAACTTTAAAGCTGCAATTAAATTGCCTGCCTGACTCCTTCTGCATGGCAAAAACTCAAATCTCTTTAAAGTCAACCATCTGTCTAGTACACTGGTTGCAGATCTAAGAGTTTTGCGAGACACATGTGGTCAGTCAAACAATTATTTACCTTGACTTGCCAGCACAAACACGCAATACAAGCAGTGTATGTTAGCAAGTGACTTAAGTCACTTCACAACAAGCAGCAGATAACATTAGCAAATTCTGCATTTTTCCCAAAAAGCAGTTTCCGTGCTCTTTTTTTTTTTGTTGTTGCCATTCTCAGCCAAAAGTGACTCTCAAACTGTTCATAAAACAAAGGTCCATTGTTTTTAAAACATTTATATAGCCCATTCCTATATTAACGCTCACATACAATGAAAATAACATAGGCTTACGGGTTAACCATTAGCATCTGTGTAATGCTGCTGTTACACAAAAAGTGTATCATGCAGACAGTAAAACAATGCTCACAAGCATACGCATTATCTTTATCCTCTGCAAAGAGCAACGATTATTTCTGCTGTGCTAAGAAGCTGAAGGAGAGGCTGATTCTCGAGTACACAAGGTTTTTCTTGGCTCAAATTGAGGCAGAGGTGGTACCACCCTGACCATGCATGTATTCTGGAAATAAAACGGACTCACTTTCTTTTACAGGAAACATAATTAAAGTTAAGGGCTCCATTAAGAATATGCCTGTCATCGATTTAAAGCATTAATTTATTCATTCATTGCATAGAAAAGTGATGGGCTCATAGACTGTGTGGTAGGGCCACTTTTGTTTGAAATACTCATAGACTTTGAAGCAGCCTTCAAGCGCTTTATGGTCCATGTCCACCTGTGCAGCAAGAGCACACTGCAGTGTCCTCCGTTGAAAAAAAAAAATAAATAAATATATATATTTAAAATATGTCTTAAACTATCTATCCAAACTATGTCATTTTACTTTTTGTAATTTTATTAGATGAGTGTTTTTAGGTACTACCATTAATATACTTCTCCTTCTCTTCTGCTCCTTTGTGAATATTTATTTATTTTTTTTTTTATGTGATTTGTATCAACCTGTAGTTCAGTCATGTCCAGCTCTGGGCCTGGAGGACCTCTGTCGTGCCTGTTTTCCATCTGTCCCGGCTGCACCACACCACATTCAAATTATTATCTCATCAGCAAGCTCTGAAGCAGCATAAGAACAATCCCAATTACACCCCTGCAGTGTACTTGAACGATGGCTGTCTCACTAGGGAGGCAGGAGTTGCCTGCTGTGTTGGGGAACAGTGCTTTTTTCCTAAATAACAGTACATGCCTTTCTCAGTATGCCTGAGCCAGGTTAATTGATTTAGCTACTACTTGTGTGTTTTTGAGAAGATATAGAAAGACAAATTAAGAAATAATATTTCAATCATGTACACATTGGATTTGCATTGTTATGCTCCTAATTGGAAATGGATTTATGGAGCCATATCTCGCCAACTCGTCCTGTTGTGCATTCTGACCCTCGCTGTCATCAGTGTTTCAGACCAAATGTCTCTCAGTGCCCGCCCACTTATGCCCCCCCCACCTATTTGAGGCACGGATTTCTAAAAGTAAAGTTTTTATTATTAATATTGTCTTTTATCATAGACGCTATTTTTGTGTTGTGAAATACTAATGGTGAGTTGCTTATCACTTATACATTGAAATATAAAGAAACATGGATGCCATTTTTTTGTTTGATTGATGACCAGTCTTATCTGCGACAGCCACTCACGGCGTTACTGAAAATAAGATTCGATAAGCAGGCGTATACGCGATAAATACAGCAATGTTTGCATATGAGAGTCCTGCACATTTTTCAAAGAGTGGCATTGAGTCATGTGGCAAGACATGGCATGTGTTTTGTATTTTATGGACTTTTCTTTCCAAGAGACATAAGCTTTGTAGTGAGCACCTCTATTTATTTCAGAGGTTGATGTGAGCATAAATAAAGATGTCAACATATATTTTGGTGACCATCGATTGCAGGTTTGGCACATTTGGTGACGTATATATTCTCAACTCAACTCAACTGTATTTATAGAGCACTTTCAAACAGCCATTGCTGCATACAAAGTGCTGTACATAGAGCAACTAACATATATACAACAATAAAGCAATAATCAGTAACAAAGATGGTAGTAGGCACCAAACAGTAAAATTAAGATCAAATCTGAGTCATGCTGAGTCAAATGCCAAAGAATACAAGTAAGTTTTGAGGCTGGTTTTCAAGATGGGCAGCGAGGGGGCTTGCCGAATGTTCAGTGGGAAGTCATTCCAGAGAGAGGGACCAGCAACGGAAAAGGCTCGATCCCCTCTGAGCCTCCGTTTAGTTCTTGGTACTTCTAATAATGTCTGGTCCACAGACCTGAGGCGCCGGGCAGGTTTGTTGGGGTGGATGAGCTCAGAGAGGTAAGGTGGCACGAGGTCATTTAAAGATTTGAAAATAAAATAATAGGATCCAGTGATAATTTTACAGTTTAACCCCAGCGAGATCAGCGAGTCCCATGGACTCGCAGATCAGAAAAGTATGAGTCCCATTCTGCATTTAGAGAGTCCCAAATTTCGAATTCTGAAATGGTCTATTTATTCAATTGAAACTTTTTAATTAATTCAGGCATACAAGATTTGCTGAGAAATAGGTTCTTATTTCATTCCATGGTTCAATCTTTGAGTTCATAAATTCTCCTCTCTTTACTCTGCTTCCAATGGTGCAAGGCTTTCTCAAAGTCAACTTATTATCGCAAAAAACTATCCAACTTTAGCTGCTTCCTCTGTGATATCTCCGCAATAAACTTTCGCAACACTTGGTTTAACGTTACACAACTTGGCAATCGTCTGCTTTCCACGAGGTTGAAGGCCGATGTCGTCAATCTCGTCTCGCGAGAACGGAAATCTCGTCACGCGAGATTACTTGGCGCGAGATCAAAACAACAATGGCGGCGATTGTCGAACTCTCACACTGCGTTGCTGGAAAAAAAGATGTACCAAAGTTGTTTTTTTTTTGTTTGTTTTGTTTTCACTGAGAAATTTCCTTGCGTCCCAAAAACGCACATTATTTGGAACTGTGCGTCCCGTGGGAAAATTATGCGTCTAGGACGCGGGACGCAGAGGTAACGAGATGACTGAGGATCTTGAAAAGAACTTTAAAATGTATAGGGAGCCAGTGAAGGGATGCCAGAGTAGGAGTTATGTGCTCCCTCTTACGAGTACCGGTCAAGAGGCGAGCAGCAGCATTCTGGACCAGCTGCAGATGGTTAATGGAGGATTGGCTGACTCCAAATTAAAGTGCATTGCAGTAATTGAGCCAGGATGTGACGAAGGCGTGAATTACTGTCTCAAGGTGCTCATGAGAAAGGAGAGGTTTTAGTTTAGCCAGCTGTCTAAGATGAAAGAAGCAGGATTTAACAACGGCACCAATTTGCCGGTCAAGTTTAAAATCACTGTCCAGTTTAAGATTCCTACAAGATGGGTTGAGACCAGGGGTCTCCAACTCCGGGCCTGGAGGGCTACTGTCCTGCCTGTTTTCCAGCTCTCCCAGGAGCAACACACCTGATTCAAATAATCAGGATCGTTCTTATGCTGCTTCAGAGCTGGCTGATGAGCTGATCGTCTAAATCAGGTGTGTTGCAGCTGGGAGAGCCGGAAAACAGGCAGGACAGTAGCCCTCCAGGCCCGGAGTTGGAGATCCCTGGTTTAGACTATCACGATGCGTCATTCTAAGGCAAGTGACAAGGGACATACTGTATTACATTAGTGTCGGCAACTCAAGAGCCATTCGAACCGTTTAAGACAAGATTCCATGGGAGCCATAAACTCTCTGGAAATGGGTAAAATGAATATATACATCATTTTCTGTTTCTGTCAATTCTGAAGCAGACAATTGTTGAACCGCGTCGTACAGAAGTCAGCCCATCCACCACATTTTATGCGGCATTAACACTAGCCATAAATTCGGCAAATAACTGAAAAATTGAGCTCGGATAATATCAGACAATCAAAAGCAATACGTCCGAATTAATCCAGTGAGTTTTTGCATGATGAAACATTTTCAAGGAGGAAGCATCTTTACAATTGGCCTCACTTTGCTGCTGCGTCAACGTACTCAAGAAGGTGTCTTTGTACATGCAATGAAAAAGAAGTCTCTGATAATACTTGCCTGTGGTTGTCGCAAAAGGCACCATTCAAAATGGGATCGGCAGTGCTACGCGAATATATGGAGCAAAGTAAGTGCTGTCTGTAGGTTATTAACTGGGCCGCCCATGCATTTCATGTGCCCCCTTTATGGCTGGACTCTAGTGACAGGTCTGGCTCTGCTGTTAGCCTCTCTCCCATGGCGTCATGCACGGATGCTTTTTTTTTTTTTTTTTCTGGCTGGGGGGGGGGTGGACTCGTGAAATGCAATGCCGGAAGCACTTTAAAAGCACAAGGGCGGACGGGGACAGTGGTCGATTACTATATGAATAAGGACGGAGGGATGATGGCCAAAGGGTATCCAGGTCACGGACGGGGGATGGAAGACAGACCAGCAAAAGAGGGTAAAGTGCCCATCTCTGCTTGGAAGAAAAAAAAAAGCAATATTGACCTGTTTGTACCATTTGTCAGGGAAAGTCAAGACATCGAAAGCACCAATTAGCAGGAAAAAAAAAACACGATTTGATCTGTTTCTTCTTCGGTAGTTGCTTCAGGTCTTTCCAGTGCACTGCTGTTGATATAGCGTGGACATCGATGTTTGGCTGTGGGTGGCACAAAATTAGCTGGAAGCACCTGCCACTCAATTTTAAACGCAAGAAAAACCCTGGTACAGTATATTGGTATGTCTGTCTTACTTTACCGAAGGTAGCCACACCAGAATGGAGCAGCAATTGCAGGAGATAGCGTGGACAAAATGGTTTAATTATATCATCTTTCATTTAATTATTTTTTTCATCAATTTTTTAGAATTCAATTACGTTTCAATGTGGAAAGATGATTTGTCATACGAGAACTTGATCAAGGAATGAATGAAACTATTTCCTCAAGGCACCACTGGACATGGACACACATGCCGTCATGAAGGTCTCTCGCCTGTGCATAATTAAGCTCAATCACATCATTCCTGTTTGAATACTTCCACAAATGTCATCGCCATCGTCCGTGTGTGAGAGTCCACCGTGAAGTTCAGTGTTAAATGAACAATCACCGTAACCTATTTTGAACTCATCTTCAAGCCAGATGTGACCAAAAGACACTCATTTGTGTTTGCATTGGTGTTAACTGCGGTCTCATGCGGTGTTGCTATTTTTCTAACCAATGGAATTCTTCCAACAGGATGTCTTTCACCGTCTGTACCTCATCTACACCGTGGGCTACTCCGTCTCGCTGGGATCGCTCATAGTGGCTGTGCTCATCTTGGGATACTTCCGGTGGGTCCCTGCTGTCTGTCGCTGTCTCTTTCATCTGCTTCATCCCTTGGAGACTTTTTTTCTTGTGAGACAGTGGAAGCAATTAGAGGTGAAGCAAAAACAAGAAGTACGAATGTCACAACACGGGGTGATGTGATGATTTCTTATTACTACAAAACTGCAGGACAATTTACATGACAGCTTGATCATAAAATCATATATTTTTCACATTACACTGGTACCTCTACTTACGAACGTCTCTTCATATGAAATTTTCACGTTACGAAACGCCTCAACAGGAAAATATTGCCTCTTGTTACGAAAGAATTTTCAAGATACGAAAGGTAAAAATTCAGTCTGGGTTGCTAGTCACAGCTCCGAGTTTCCTGAACTCAACATACTTCTAGCTGCTCTGTCATTGGCTATTACAGAGCATCATCCTGGCATTCCATTGGCTAAGAGAGACTTCCACCGTATGTGTCTGTGTGTGAAGATAGATAAATAGATAGATATGTGTCTATGCAGCGTCCTCGTCATTTGCCCCTCGGGCCATGAGGCGATAGTTTTAAATCAATATGAATCACCCAGAAAAAGTGTTTACCGGTCAGGCGATCGCTCACAATGCTGATGTCTGCCTTGGACATTTTCGAATGATTGTTAAAAGCCGACAAAAGCAAACGTCCTTAGATCACTTCTTTACAAAACACTTTTTTGTTTTTTATATTATGCACAACTCTATTGTGTAATAATCCAATTGTAACATGTAGTTGTTACATATTTTGATGCATTTCTATGCTTTAGAAAACATGTATGCCTGAATTTTCGAGGGCTTGGAACGGATTAGGGCATTTACATGGAAAACATGTCTCTACTTACAAATTTTTGTTGTTAAGAAATTTCTTCCAGAACCAATTAATTTCGTAAGTAGAGGGACCACTGTACAAGCAGAGGTGGCAAAAGACCATCACGGCAGCTCACCCGTTTTCTGGGTTTGGCCATGTGACATTCGCATGCCACTGTGATGTCATTTTCAGTCTGTGGCAATTCAAGGCAAGATGACCGTTCTCTGAGATGGATAAAAGCAAGTGGATTTTTCGACCGAAATCATATTCCACAAAAGCATTAACCAGAATACCCTTTTTGGATTAGCCAGGGTACAAAGAACATAAGTAAAGAAATGTTTTGACTTGACTTCCCCCATTCAGTAAAAGTATAGATACAGTACTTGTGTACAAAAAAAAAACCTCTTAAGTTCAAGACTGAGATGAATTTAAATTACATGGAAGCATGTGAGGCAGCCCGGTGGCCGAGTGGTTCGCGCGTCGAACTCACAGTGCAGAGGTACGGTGTTCGATTCCAGCTCCGGCCTTCCTGTGTGGAGTTGTGCATGTTCTCCCCGTGCCTGCGTGGGTTTTCTCCGGGTACTCCGGTTTCCTCCCACATTCCAAATACATGCATGGTAGGCTGATTGAAGACTCAAGATTGTCCCTCGGTGTGATTGTGAGCACGGATGGTTGTTCGTCTCTGTGTGCCCTGCGATTGGCTGGCAACCGGTTCAGGCTGTACCCCGCCTTCTGCCCAAAGACAGCTGGAATCGGCTCCAGCATGCCCCGCGACCCCTTTCAGGATGAAGTGGATCAGAGAATGGATGGATGGATGGATGGATGGAAGCATGTGGTTCATTAAACAATTCTTTTGAGGCCATGGAGACGGGATGTATTCTTATTCTTCTGAATCTGTTGCCAGCGTCATTAAAGCTCCTCGGTTCACATTCCTCCATGTCACAGCTGTTGTTTTTTTTCTTTTCTTTTTACAAAAAAAATGTCACAAAATCAATTTTCCTTGAAAATGTTGTTCCACAAACCGCAACACATCAAAAATGATTGCTAAATGAAAAAAAAAAGAATACATGACTAAAATGTACAAAAAGGACAAAGAGGGGAATCAGGGTTAAGGATTTTTGTGTTCATTTATAGACAAGAAAGTGGTCAACACATTTTCAATGAGCTTGGCTTCAATTGTTTGACTCCGTACATTTCCGTCACCTGTGCACTTGGCGTAGCATTGCCGTTCACACTTCAAGACAAAGTATTTTCACGTGGAATTCTTAATGAATCCATCAAATGTAGTCGGGGAGACCTGGAGTAAAAACACATTTTCTTTACTACAGCTTCAGAGTAAAATAAACGCACAGATGATGACGATAAGGAGCACTTGCATGGTCTCATTCAGCCTACTGATGTTTTTCATGGCCTGTCCGCGCAGTTTTTGGGGTGAGGTGGGCAACAGGAAGTGTCAGGAATCGACACTCTATTTACTAATGTTTCCACACAAGCCGTCAGAAGACTTCAGAATCGCTCCCCACTGGCACGAGGCAATATGTTCGGGGCCAAATGAGTTTAATAAGTTATCCCAAGGGCCCTTCTGACATTCTGGCTACGCTGTTCCAAAAGCAGTCCAGCCACGTCTCACCTCAAACACGTCAGCTCGGAGACACCGGCGCTCCCCGAATGTTTTCCCAAGCAGGAACAGGAGTTATTTCATATTAATGTGTGGATTTCTCACCAGGGAAATGTGGGATAGATTAGTTGTCGTCCACTGCTTCCGATCAATAGGAAGCTTTGTCAAATCTTTAGCGCATTAAAGGTCAACTGTGAAGTAATTTTAAAACGTCCCAAATGAATTTTTTTTTCTGTCAAAAGTGAAGTAATTAAACAAAATACATTAAATAAAGCATGAACAAAAAAAAATTAAACTTCTAAAGTTGACAAAGTAATAGTTTTCCTGAAGTAATATCCTGACGAGCGACAAACCTGGAAGTGTAAGATAACAAAAGACTGGCTCTCTGGAAAGTGTACAGACAGTCAGAAATCAATTTGGAAAGTGACATTTTAAATTTATGCAGGTGTATGAAGAGCTGGAGGAAGAGCAGGGTTTTAGCAAGATGTATATTGGACCATACATGTACGAGCCAGATGCTCATGATGTGGAAAATGTTGTGCCGGACATGGAGTGGAGATGAGACCCATCGGGACTGGAAGAACGGTCAACTGTATAGGCTGCAGTTATTAGCCTAATGTTATTGTTTGCAATTCGATGATGTGCCGTGCTGTAAATTATACACGATGGGATTACCTACTTGGTCCATGCATTCTCGCTAGCACTGAGAGCACACGTGATAGTGGGTTGATGTCCTACATTGTCATTGCTAAGGTAGTTCTGTTGCGTTGTTGGCTACTCCGCACATTAAATCGGCGGCATTGTTAGTTGCAAACCATAACAGAAGATTCCATCCATGCGCTCGTATAGTTTGAAATTCAGACAGGATTACATCCATGTACATAATACTAGGAATCAAATGTTTTCATAAACAACAGCCAGAGTTAGTAATTGATTATCACGCCTACCTTTTTTTGCCAATCCCGTTAAGAAAACAGGAATTTGAAGTGCTTGTAAAAAGAGCTGCTGGTGTAAAATGTTAAAAAAAAAAAAAAAAACTGAAGAAAGTATGCTTGAAATAGTTTTACCTCAACGTAGTGCTCAAATGTTGGTTGACCAAGTTTACTTCACTCTTGACTTTTAAATGGGCAAAGAATATTTGATTGTATTGGGATTAGCAATATTGACACTGGTCGGCACGGTGTTCGACTTGTTAGCACACAGGTGTCAAAGTCAAGGCCGCAGGGCCAGATCTGGCCCGGCAGATCATTTAATGTGGCCCTCGAAAGCAAATCAAACATGTCAACATCTATGATGCATGCTAAAATCTCGACCAAAATTTTTAATTCTCATACGGAATAAATAAGAGACATATTGTACCCTTTTTATTGTTACCAAATCCCTCATTACAGTAACTAAATAAACCGCTATTATTGACTTTTTAAAATGGTTCAGTCATAACGGCCCTCCGAGGAAAACACTAACTAAAATGTGGCCCACGACAAAAGTGAGATTGACACCCCTGTGTTAGCATGTCCGTCTCACGGCGCATAGGTTCGGGGTTTGCATGTTCTCCCCATGCCTGTGTGGATTTTCTCCGTGCACTGCGGCTTCCTCCCACATTCCAATGTGTGGTGGCACTCTATATTGTCCCTGTTTTGTTCGCCTGTTTTGTATTTTATATTGTAAAAAGGCCCGGTGATCCAGTGATTAGCGTGTCGACCTCACTGTGCAGAGGTCGTGGGTTCGATTCCAGCTTCCTTCCTGTGTGGAGTTTGCATGTTCTCCCCGGGCCTGCGTGGGTTTTCTCGAGGTACTCCGGTTTCCTCCCACATTCCAAAAACATGCATGGCAGGCTGAGTGAACGCTCTAAATTGTCCCGAGGTGTGAGTGTGTGTGCGAATGGTTGTTCGTCTGTGTGGCCTGCGATTGGCTGGCAACCAGTTCAGCGTGTCACCTGCCTACTGCCCAAAGACAGCTGGGATAGGCTCCAGCATGCCCGCGACTCTCGTGAGGATGAGTGGATCAAATAAGGGATCCGTGAATGGATATTGACACTGAGGTTTATCTGGGCTCATAGTTACAATGATGCACAACCTTTCCACACTGGCAGTGTGTTTGTGGGCAAATTCAATTAATCTTACTTGCAATTGTGTTGTTATTGCCCCGAAATGTAACATCTGGTTCTTTGATTTCAATCAAACCGCCAAGAAATCAAGACTTGATGAAACTCAAAAGGCCTATTTAAATATATTTTCAAGTTAAAATTGAAGTGGCCTTATATTTACGCTTGCGTCATATTCTCGTGTGGGCAGCACCCCGGCGTAATCATGTTCAAACTCAGAATAGCACCGAGATTATCCAACATTCCCTGAATGGAATTCTTCAGTAAAACCTCGTGTGTAATGTCTGACCATCGGGTAGCAGATGTACGGTATTTTTTTTTTTTAATCAACCCTGGTTTGAAGCCTCATTGTCAGGAATTTGCTCGAGTCAGTTTATCACTAAGAATGATCACCCCCCTAACAGCCACCATTTTGTGTGTTGTCAGACGTCTGCACTGCACCAGAAACTACATCCACATGCATCTCTTTGTGTCCTACATGCTGCGAGCTGTGAGCATCTTCGTCAAGGACGTGGTGCTCTACTCAGGATCTGCCCTGGAAGATGTGCAACGCGTCACGGTGGAGGAACTCAAGTCGATCACAGAGGCTCCCCCATCCAACAAAGCACATTTTGTAAGTGCAAACCCAATACGGTCTCGTCAGAATTGTTGAAAAAACATGTAACTCAGTAATTCAGTAACTATAAATGTCCCGGTGCTTTGACCTTATCCTGCCCAAGACTGCTGACCCAATTTGAACTCTATTGCTAAGCAAAACAGCAGCATCTACAAAGGCATGCAAATTGGCTTCCCCTATATGGCAGAAGGGCTCAAAGGGCTTACATGTTTTTGTTGCTGTTTTTAGTCGTTATTCATCAGCACTGTACAGTACACATGTTTCAAGAGACCTGCGAAGCATTGAGCCTCTGTAGGAGGAAGTGGTGTGGGTCTCTTTTTGCAATGTCCCACGTTGGCTTTTCCAGGGTCGGAGCAAATAAATAGTGTTTTTTTTTTTTTTTTTTGGGGTCCACCTTCCAACCACTTACACGAGACCA